GGGAGCATGTGCCCCAGATCTGTGTGGGGTGGGATGGCTGCCACTGCGGGCTTGGACCAGGGCTGTGCCAAGCTCTTCCTGGCGGGGGCTGGGCCGTACTGTGCTTGGGGCGGGCAGTGCTGGGAGGGGGGTTTGGAGAGGGGCTACAGCGAATTTTGGGGTGGCTGCAGCACCCCCCTGTAGCTTCACTCCTAGTGCTGCCCGCCCTGAGTGCTGTCCTGCCCAGCCCCCACTGGGAAGAGCCCAGTGCCACCCCACCTTGCAGCTGCAGCCCTCCTTGCACATCATCTGGGGGGCATATGCCCCCCATGTGCCTTCCCAGAGTGCATGCACTGGCAGGAACCACACTCCTGCCCCCTGGATGAGCCATGGCTTTGTCCTGTGCCCTGCCTTGCCCTGGGGTTGGGCAGCACCTGCCCCAGCTCCACTCACTCCCTCCCCACAAGGGCCTCGATCTGTTCCCCCATGCTCTTTCCCTTACTCCTCCGCTTCTACCACAACAGACTCATCAGCTGCATGCAGCTCTCCAAGCTGCTGGGCTGTGTATCAGAAATCAAATCGGTAGTCAGTGATATGCCTCCTTAAAAATTGGCTTAGAAATCTCAGTGCGCCCCTAATTATTTACCCCTATTATGCACCCCTATTTATAATATGTGGCTTTATGTTGGACTTCTTTGTCTAGATTTGACTTTTGTTACTGGTTCTCATGTGGGTGAGCTGATAGTTTGGGATGCATTGGATTGGACAAAGCAGGCATCTGAATGTGGCTTCTGGGATTCCTCTCTTCACACAGACATGCAGCAGGAAATCAAGTTAACACAAAACCAAAAAGAAATATCAATTCAGTGTCTAGCATCTGATGAGGAGGTAAGAAACCAGGTTGTCTTACAGTAGAAATAAGAGTGCTGTAAGTTTTTGTTTTCAGTTTAATTACTCCAGTAAGAAATACATGATGTTTGTTTAAAATTTACTCAGATGTCTTAATGCCAGTCAATAGCATTTATTTAAGGTTTTGCTCAGTTGGCTAGCTCAAGGTTACAACAGCATAAAATCCTGTCTGAGCAGTTCAATACAGAGAGTCAATAGATAACCTCAGACCTAGCATAATGAACAATCACAGTTTGTGTGTTAAATTGACAAAGGCAGATTGAATGCACATTTAAAAGTTGTTCTAAAACAATCGAATTGCCTGTTTTTATGGAATATGTTTCCTATTTCCACAAATCCACCTCTCTCAAAATTTGCCCCTCAGATGTTTCTGGCTGCAGGTGCTTTAAAATTAACAAACTGAACTAAAAAAGGGCATATTTACAAAATGTTGCTGCTTTGTTCAGAGAGACTTGGCCTATATAGTTAATTTGTAACAATCACAAAGATGGGTCCAAAACTACAGAGTTCATTTATACTGTTTCAGTAATAGTCTGTGAGTGCTTGTTCTTTCAAAGAAACTTAGTTTACAAAGAATAAGTGTCCTCAAATTGATGTTGTTCATTGTTATGAAATTGTAATGAAGTTATCAAGTTTTAAGTGAAAAGAAAGAAGAAAACAGAAAGAATCAAAATGAGCCGCCAGACAGCTGAAAGGGAGATTGCTTAAAGGAATAACAATTATCCCAAACCCTTTTCGGCTCTTCCCCACCTTTCCTTTATCTCCTCAGCCTCATTCTTCCTTCCCCCCTTACTTCCTTTCAAGGTGGATTGATTTAAATTAACTTGATTTAAATCAGTGAAATAAATCATGATTTAAATCGGCAAGCCATAAGCCCGAGTTAAATTATTCATTGTTGTTGACCTTGCCATTGTATTTTTTGTTTATTTGTTTTTTAAAAGGTGTATTTTCATTGGTTGATATAACAAAACATGTTCATTTGCAACTAACAGTAGTTCTGGTACATGTGTTTCCTAGGTATGCATACTATATATGTGTGTGTGTGCATGCACGTGCAGCCTGCTTATGTATGTGCATATATATATTTTTCTAAATATATAGTTAACTTATTTGGATTGTTAGAAATCCTACATTTTAGCTATAAAATGGTAAAATATATATTTTTTATTCACTAGATGATTAATGTTTTGCTCAGATTTGTATCAAGCTGTATTAAGATGCCAACTTGAATTCAACTGAACACACAAATCCGGCACTTCAAGTTTATTTAAAAAACTTTTACCAGCTGGACGCTGGTCTCCAAGCTGCCAGGCTGCATTCCTGGCAAGCACGCAGCATTTATCGGTGGCATTATTGGCTACACCAACCCAAAAAGATTGCCAATAACATAAATTTTTCTTTTACGTTGCTGATCCGATATGGACTGAGATATTGGGGCACCTCTACTATTAACTGTTATAGTATTAGAAGTATGAACTATGGTTAGTGAATTAAACCAATTATTTTAGGTCATCTTGGGGAAATTTTTCTAAAATGCCTAAGCTAAAGTGATTTGAGTTTAAGGTCTTACATGCCTAATTCTCTTTTAAATGAAACAGTCATTTTTTTAATTAGGCTGTTAACAGGGCACAGTGATGGTGACTTGACCTGTGGGTTGAGTGACACCATAGCCTACCTTGCTGGGGTTCCCTGGTAAGATTCTCTCAAATAGACGGATAAACCCCCAGGGAACTGGAGGGACATGTTCTCCTTCACTACAGCCAAGTTACATTTGAAATGGGCAAAGTGGGACTGTGTTATTGAAGGGGTCAGATGCTGGGTTGCCTACAGATGGGTTAATGGGGAATGACTGAGAAAGAGGACCCCAAACAATGTATGTACTAGTATGTTACTGACACAGGACAGCAGCTGTGAAAAAGCAGAGAGGTGAATCTGGAATGCCAGGCAGGAGATAGACATCGATCCAAAGGAGGTGCCTGCCTTTGAAAGCAGTGTTCCCAAAATGCTTGTTTGGAGCAACAGAAAAGTTTAAAAAGGTGGTTAGAAAAGGCAAGGGGCAGCTTTCAACACTGGCTGAGTCCCAGAAGGAAAACACTAATCTGAGTCTGGAGAAGTCTTGGGATGTAGCCTCACAGGATGAGAAATGAAAGCCTGAGCAAATAAAAAGGATCAATGGCTGTTGAAGTACCTTTGCATGCTTGAAAGAAATCTCAACCAAGAACCCAGAGTTAGCAGACCCCACCTGTGAAAACAGCTTGTGGTGCAAACCAGTGCTGATGCAAGGGAATGATGTGGAGGTAGATAACCAGTAGTGTGCCTAAGTAAAAGCTTGCTCCTGGAAGAACAAAACTCTGCCACCTTTAAGCAAGAGCATTTTGCAAGTGTGATGTTTAAAAGAGTTACACTTGGATTTGCAGAATCAAAAATGTAAAGTGCACTGATCTTGCCACCTAAATGGTTGCAATATGTGAAAGGTGTCGTTCCAAACTGCTATCTGCTTATCCAAGGTCCCAGCATGGAAGCTGCTCATGACCTGGGGAACAACAGTCAGGTAGCAGATACTCTGCATAGAATGAGTAAATGTTCTCCTATATTTCAGTTTCCCTTGTAAAATAAGCCTGAAATTTCACTTCTCAGCGCATTGGAGCAGACTTGATTAATCAAGTCTGCTGGAGCACGGTAATTACTACGCTCCGGCTAGCCTCCTCATCTCGTATATCAGCATCCCCCTGCCTCAAAATGACTGTGGGGACACTTTACTAAATCTCATGTAATGACCTTTAGATTAAGCTCCCCCACTGCCATTTTGAAGTCCAAGGACAATGATACAAAAGATACTTCAAGCACTTTAGAGCACCTCGCAGAGCTGCTCTAATTAAAGCACCCTCCCTTCCCCCCTCCCAGAACACTTGTAAAAATGCCCTATATGACTATATATGATGGTGCTTTCAGGCTTTTGCAACACCATTGGGGTAGGGCCCATTTTCCTTTGTATAAAGTGCTCAGCTCAGTGGAGTCTAGATCCCTAATTTGGACCTTTGGGTACAACTGCAATAAAATATAAAATAACAAGGACAAAAAGTCATCTAAATACATTGTCCCCCCAGGTCCAGAGTTAAGATAAGAGCCCTGTGATTCTGCACAGTAGCCTGCCTTCCTGAAAGGTCCATCAGACTTTGCTGAAAAAGAGAAGTTCTTTCCATATGGAATTCTATTTGTGACAGAGCTGATAGTGAACACATACTAGCATATTTAAACTCACTGTATTGCTTTAAATATGAAACACCCTTGAATTTAAGACGCCCACATTTTCTGACTTTCAATTTAAGCAGCAAAATAAAACATCAAATAAATACATGTTTACAAGAACATAGCTTCTGCAGTTCATGTAAGGGCTTTGTGTTTTTCTTCCCCTTTCAAATTTTAGACACGTCATTTTGAGAAGAAATAATTTAGTTTTAAAAAGTATATCTGATATTTGAAGTCGTGCAGTATTTGTGTGCCATGACTCTAGTTTCATTTCTGTATGCAAGCTCCTTGACTTTTTGCATATTTGAAACTTATTTTTAGAACACCAACTTTTAAACTACAGTTATGATGGTTGGTTAAAAAGGTGTTGAATAGAAATATTTCATAAAAGAAATACTTGTTACGGTTTGTAAACTTTTGGTATTCCCATAGCCAGCTTGAATTGCATTATACAGAAGAATTACAGTACACTGCTACAATTAGTACAGTATAAAATAGGGGGTGGTGATGTGAAAATGCTCTTACACATTAAACAGATGCCTTTTCATTTTCGAATGTCCAGCCTTTTCTCAGGCGCTTTTTTTTTTTGACATTTGTATGCTGTAGACAAGCCAGTAGTGCAATAACAAAGGTTCAGAGGGATAGGAATGAGCCAGGTGACAGTGGCTTTATGATGTCATAGTATGACTGGATATCCATGACAGCATGATACTTATGTTGGTGTCTGTAAGATGTTCTGTTGAATTTTCTTTCCAGTGTGTGTTTGCAGCTGTTGGGAAGGGAATATATGTATATAATCTTCAAATGAAGCGTGTGATTGCCTGCCAGAGAACAGCTCATGACTCCAGTGTGCTGCACATCGCAAAACTTCCAAACAGGTACTAGTCATGGTAAATGTTGCAGTGTACTAAAGAAATGCAGGTCTCACAAAGACATCCAAAGACAGCCTACATTTAAACTTCTGAGGCAGCACAGAGAACTTGATATTTGGCTTGATCTGCCTTTAGGGGGAATAGAAGGCATTGATTTAAATGTCAGAAGTGCACCCTTATAACTTGATGTGGCACAACGTAATCCAGTATACACTGAACACTGCTGGCACATTAAATACTTATTGACTTTTATATTCAAGTTTAGTAGGACAATTAGTCTATGTTATAGAAATATGATTGTAGACTATGTATAGCATTTGGCTCTAATAAACCAAAACACACTCCAGATACATTCCAAATTAATTTACTAATTTTTGTTGTTCAGAAAGAATATAATGAAAAAATATTAAACAGAAAACTAATACTCCCAGGGTTTGACCTTTAGTGCCAAGTTTGTAGCAGGAATTTAATTTTTATACTTGGAGTCAAAAATTCATCAAAATAGAGCTAAATGGTTGCCACAGAGATGTATACTTTAACTTTGCCATTCTCTTTATTGTTGCTATATGGAAGTAGTCTAACAAGACAAAATAAAACCTTAATCTTGCACAGGCTTATGTCATGTTTAACTTTTAACGTGAGTAAACTTGCTGAAGTCACTTGGACAATGTAGGTGCATGTGTTTTCAGGGTCAAGGCTTACATTTGTTTTTATAAAGCAATACATTTAAAGTCTGTTAGGTGGGATTGCAAATTTACTTTGTTTTACAAATTTTGTTGAGCTGAGTATAATTTTTCCTGATACAAAATTCATGTGGAAATGACTTCCACTTGTTAAATAACAACTATGATGCACTTTTAATAAACATGTGTAGTATCTTGAAGAACTTGTCTAACCACAAAGGAAATATTACAAGCAGATTTGTACTGATAGATATCCAGCCTAGTTCTTCTGTGTCAGTAACACTCATCATTTGTTTTGACAGGCAGCTGCTATCATGTTCAGAGGATGGCAGTCTTCGTATTTGGGAGCTACGAGAAAAGCAACAGCTTTCAGCTGAGCCTGTTCCAACAGGTGTGTCTGTGTCTTCAAAGTTTTTTGTTAAATAAAATGATGTAAAAAGATATAGGGATCACCAAAGCACCTGTACCAGAATGGAGATTCATAAGCATAATTTATACAATTAAACCATGATTCACTACTTCCAGCTAAAGCAGTATTCACTGATTTTTTTTTTTTTCTTTTTTTCATTTGTCATCTCTCTTCCCATTATCTTATAAGCCATGACAAAAAATGCTGATTTGATTGTGTTTTGGCATTGTCACATGTGGTTTTAAGTCCTTAGGTTGGAGGCATGTGTTAAATGAATCCATATCCAAAGGTGGGTGGATAGAATTGCTGTTGAATGTCTCTCTCTTTTCTTTCTAACCAGCCCCAAAGAGTAATGTTCATCTGCTCTGGCATCTCTCTCATATAGAATTACAGTCTGTTCACTTTGTATTTATAGGACCAATAGAAGGGCTAGTGGGAAGAGTATGGGGCTGTATTGTCTCCAGTGTATATGTAGATGACACTTGGCTTTCCAACTGTCAGGACAGTTATGCAGACTACTTGATTTTCTTTTAGAAAGTGTGGGTTGTGAATCTTCTTGGATAACACACTGGCGGTCATTCTAGAGATTTCTTCTATGTCCTGAGTGGACTGCCTCTGTTGTGTTACTAAAGTTTGTTCCATAAGTGATTTGAACTGCCAGCTGTGTCTGATTATCCAGGTAGTAGCAGCTAGTATGAGCAGTCCTGGAGATGCTGTTGGTAAGACCATTTTTGCCTTCCAGTTCCTCTGGATCATAGCTTTTAGATTGAAGGGTGGCATATGGATGGAGAGTACACGAACAGAAAGTTGGCATCAAAAGCTTATGCTACCATTGGCAGGAAGAATGCCAGAGAGAGAGATCAGTACCTCCTTTTCCCCTTTCCCTTCAGTTCAAACAATGTATTCAGAACAAAGCAGAGTTAAACAGCAGTGTTCTGCACTACCCACCTTTGTCCACTGAATTTATTTTTGCAGTTTACCTTTCTGCAAAAAGTTCTTCCTTTTGTTACCTCAGTTACAAACAAGGTGGATAATTAAACTTCTCCTGGTAAGGGAATCACAGTATCTAATGCTTCACTTGCCCTGGTTTAAGGAATATTTTGTCATAACATAGATATGTTTTTCTGCAAATTTCTATTTTACTTCTCAAATTGTAAATACGTGTCATTTGTTTAAGTGACAGCATCCCCCAAATACCCTCTCTGGCTAGATCAAAATAAATAATTTTTATCTAATCAGGCATTAATATGTGACTTTGCCACTGTAAAAAGGAAGATTAACTCTGCTGTGTCTTTTCCAGGCTTTTTCAACATGTGGGGATTTGGGAGGGCAAACAAGCAAGCAAACCAAACTGCCAAAAAGACTCAAGAAAGCATGACTTTGTATTCCTTGGAGCTTATTGGTGACCTCATTGGTCACTCATCAGCTGTGCAGGTACGTTGGCTTTGGGTAGAACAGCAACATAGGGATTTCTTTTATTGCTATATGAGAATGTTTCTTCTTAAATGCCTTGTTTATGACTGCAGTGGAGGTTGGGATGGTGGCATGACAGGGCTGTCCAGAGTCTGAGCTTTGACTCTTCTGGGTTTCCAGCAGAGTTCTTAAGAAAATTGTTAAAAGCCAGCATAATGGCCAGATGTGTTTTTCAGTGTACTTAGTGTAAGGTGTGAGAAATGTATCAGCTGGCTGAAGTCTGGGTTAGATTTATAACACTTGTAGGTGCGTGGAAGAGGTGTGTAGATAGAAGCCACAGAAAATTATCTTCTTGTTACAAGGCTACTTACAAATAGCCTTTACTTGAGTCCTTAGCTGACTGCAGAAGCTGGAGCTAGGAACTTGGAGGCCTAGATCTCTGGTTCCATCCTCAGTCTGCTACCTAGATAGGGGGTACATAGTAAGTAAACCTGACCAGTAGTCTTGTAGCTTTTCTGTTCTGCAAGGTATATGGCATTCTTTTTTTGCCATGTCCAACAGAAGCCTTTAGAGAAACATTTATGTTATGTTTGTACAGTACTTTCAGTTGAAAAATGTGTCCTTAAAATGTCCTATGACAGTATGTCATCTCACACCTGCACGTTCAGATAGCTACTGCTTTCTGGTCAGCAAAAGGGTAGTGGTTGATATTAAGGAGTATTTTCTCTTATCCCATCTTTGGTGTTTTTCAGTCTGAGGGACACCAATAAAGAACATCTGTTTTGTTCTATAGAACTTGGCAACTGACAACTGATGCCCAGGAAAAAGCCAACCTATTAAATGGATACTTTGTGTTGGTCTTTCATCAGTCCCATGGGACGCCCATGCCCGCTACGGGACAGGGAGGTCCAGGTGAGGGAGATCCCCTGCCCTCCATAAATGCTGATCTTGTGAAGGAGCATCTTGAGAAGCTGGATACCTTCAAGTCAGCCGGCCCTGACAATCTACACCCCAGGGTACTCAAGGAGCTGGCGAGCATCATAGCCCAGCCTCTGGCACGGATCCTTGAAAACTCCTGGCACTCTGGTGTAGTGCCCGAAGACTGGAAGAAGGCCAATGTGGTGCCTATCTTCAAGAAATGGAGGAAAGTGGATCCGGCTAACTATAGGCCCATTAGCCTGACTTCTATCCTGGGGAAGATCTTAGAAAAGCTTATTAAAGAG